GGTGGGGGCGGCGCCACGGGGGGGGCGGGGAGCGGGCATCCGCAGTGCGACCGCCGGGGCCTGAGCCCTCCCGCTGCGCTTCGGGCCTGGCCGCGGGAGAGGGTGGCCGGCGGGATCCCGCGCCCCGTGCCGCCGCCTCGCTCCTCTCCGCGAAGTGCTGCCCCGCGGCCGCAGACAGAGCCATGCGCGGCCCTGGCCGGGCACTGCGGCCCGGCGGCTTTATGCAAATCTATGCACCAAAAAGTTGTGCCGCAGTGCCCGGCCCGTCGCTGTGCTGGGAAACAGAGCGACGCCGGGGCTGGGCGGGGGGCTGCAGACGAGGTGGGCTCGAGGGGATGGCAGTGATCAACGGGAGGCCGGAGATGGGAGCCGGGGCCTGCCTCCGAGTCGTGCCCTGCACCGCTTTACAAACCCCGCGCCCCGCCCCGGCCGTGAGCCGCAGGGGGGGACTGCGGGGTTTTACCGCAGCACCCGGAGCAGGAGGCGGAGGGCACGGCGCAGCCCTGCACCGGGGGTGGCAACGAGGGGCACGGAGCTTGAGTTGAGCGAGGGCTGCCCGGTCAGGCACCGGCACCCATAGTCGGACGCTTGTTCCTCGCGTGTCAGTGCAACACCCCCTCGCCCGCGTTTCTGTGCACCACCCTGCCTTCCACGCTGCGAAGCGAGTGCCCACAGCAACCGCTAGGCCAGGCTTGGGTGCGAGCAGCCTTGTGCAGCCAGCAGGTCGCTCCAGAGGAGCGGGTCCCTGCGGTTGCAGATGAATTAAGGTGAACCAGAGAGTATGGGGGGTGGGGGAGGATTTTAAGCAGAATCGGGATTGGGACACTGCATCCGGAAAGCTTCCTCGGCTCTGCCTAGCCAGGAGGCTCTACTCGGGTCTGAGCTGTCCTGCCAAATGTATTGACTCCGTCGGGGAAAAAATAGGAACGATGGAAAGCGGGGTGGGGAGCCATGGACCCGCCCTTCCCCGGCAGCCGCTAAAGCAGCACCACGCGCAAGTGTTGAAGCCTGCCTTTGCGGCCTGGCCCACGGGAAACCTCTGCACCGCTTCGGCTGCGCGGACACAAGCTGCTCTGGGCCGCGCCACGGCGGGAGCGCTCAAGCGCATAGAGGCTGCTCTCTCTTCCGGCACCTATTTCCCAGCCGCCACGTAGCACGTCTGCCTGGTGTGGTGTATGGGGGGGGGGGTGGGGGGCAGATATTCGGGATTTCTTAGACCTCGTGTATATCGTATGTCACCCGCGGTCGTTGGAACATAAACCTCGGAGGTGAATCAGCCTCGGGAAGTGAAGTTGAAAAGCTCCGGGTCAGGGAAAACCGCCTTGTCTCTCGCTGGCCGCCAGGTGTGATGCTTTAGGGCCGGCTCCTGCCAAGCCTTATTTACTCACTTGAGCAATCTGTATTGGTGCCACCAGCCCTATAAAGACAACGGGGCTGGTCCTGGGGGAAAGGGTGTTTCCCGGGTGTATCAGAAGCCCTCTGTTTTGGCCCTTACTTTTCTGAGCTTAAAAAAAAGAAAAGATTTCCACTTGCCCGTTGACACCATGCAGGCAGGGGGTGCCGGGCCGGGCCCCCCAGCTGTAAGGAGGAGAGCAGCATCCAGGTCCCACCTCGGGGGACCCCGGGTTCTCCTTCGCTTTCAGGGCACTTAACATCCAAAGTCAGGCTGAATCCCTGAACGGATGTTCAGTTGCAAATCTGAAGGCTCTCAATTAACACCGGAGCTGAATTTAGCAGGGCGCTGCGTACTTCTCCCTCCGTTCCCGTTTCTTATAAAACAAAAACAGGGAAATAAACCCGATCGCCCTGCCGACTCCTCTCTGTGTCCAGGCAAGCACGACCTGCTTCATGGAAAATAAGCGCAGTGGCCGGCCTGGAGTGGCTCGGAGTCTCGCTGCCTGCGCTTCAGGAGAAGAGGTCCCAAGCTGTAGGCCTGATGGTCTCACAGGAGCCACGCGGATACATATGGCGCCCGCGCAAGGCACGGGGAGATGGAGAGGGCCCCGGATGCGCAGGAGGAGGCGGCGGTGCGGGCAGGGTGCAGGGCCGCAGGGCCGGAGGCAATGCAAGCAGGGCCCGATGCCCCCGATCTCCCGCGTGTGACACGGGAGCAGGAGCAGGGGCTCGGCCTGGGAGAGTCGCTTTCAACAGGCTTCACCTGCCACTAAGTGAATCCCCCCGCACCGGCAGGGCCGCCCCACCACTCGGCCCACGCCCTGGCCG